TCTCTCTCTGTCAAAAACTCTGTCAAAAAAAAAGAGTCAGATCTCAGCTGACTGAGCCACCCAGGCGCCCCGTATCTGGCACTCTTCACCACACTGATCAATAAACCAGGGCCCAGGAGAGCTGAAGTCTAGCTTCGGCCACCAGGGAATCTGCTCATTGGGAACTGGAGCAGACGTACTTCATACCATCTCGGGGTGAGGGTGAATTTTTAACTGCCACCGCCCTGAGTAGTGGCATCCCTGGAGAAGTGAAAGATCACCATGCTCCACAATTTGCACAGGCTCAGAGAAGAGCCTCCCCAAAAGATCAGTTCTCTTGATAAATGGAAATGGATGGACGCACACACACCCTACTTGTGTAGGACGGTATGACACCTAAGAAAAGGGAATCTGACCACCTTAAGACATCAGAACTCAAAAAGACCTCGTGGAAATATTCTAGTCTAACTACCTCATTCTCACAGACAGAGCTAAAGCTCAGTGAAACCAAATGCTCTGCCAAAGGTCAATATTTGACAAAGCGAGACTTGGGATTTCAAGTCCAGTGGTCTTTCCAGCGTACAAATGGTTCTCAAATATACCCTGCAAAGCAGTTTGATTCTCAGAGGTGATCTGGGGGAGGCCAGTGGAGGTCAGGGCCACACCCGCCTCTTCCACTTTTAGACAGAGCTGCTCTGATTGATCTGTTTAGGCATTGTGCTTTCAAGTAAAATTTCACTTGATCAAAGGGTCCCATGGTTAAGAAAAAAATTGGAAAACAACTGTACTATTATAACACGATGGAGCTCTGCCATCTGGAGGAGTCTGGGATAAAATAGCAGACCCAGGTTTAATGGCCCAGAAAGACCTTAGTCTTTTTGTTCTGCAAACACAAGAGCATGGGTGGAGGATGGGACGGGAAGGGGGGACGACAACAATACCATTCAGCAGCAAAAAGTAGAGCCCAAATTTACCTCTAGGTGCTTGGTAGCTTCTTCATTGCGGGACATGAGTAGCAGTTTGGTGCGCAGGCTTCGGAAATGCATGTCACCCAGCAGGGATGCCCGCTTCACAGGAGCTTCTGTGGTCGACTGGGAAGAAACCAATGGAAAAGTCACTAAAACGGACTTTGAATACACACTGGGGAAGAGCCAGGAGCTGGGAATCAGGATGCCCGAGTCTCTGGAAAAGGATAGGAATTAAGAAATGAAGTAAGAGGAGGAAAATCATCATCAGTCTCACAAGGGCCTACCATCTGGGCAACTAACGGAAGTGATTTTAGGCAGCAGGCTGAGGTGAGAACTGTAGTCTATTTTCTGAGAGTCCAAATACACAAGGGAGGGTCCAGCCCAGACTGTGATATGATGGCCAGGCTAAAAAAAATAAATTAAGGTCAGACATGAGGGAAGACTAAGGGAACGTGGGGCTACCTGGGCCCACAGGGGTTAGGAGCCATAAAAAGCCTTCTTTGACAAATAAATAGAAGCACATCTGAGCTCCTTCCTTTCTGCAAAGAAGTTCAATAGGGAGAAGGAAAAATCGCTGCAGGGGTTTGGGTGCAAGTCAGGCAGGCAACTCACCAGAATGAAGAGCTCACTATTTGTGATGTTGAGAAAGATGCAGTTCGCTCCCAATGCTTTCTTGAACTCTTTATGGACGTTTTCGTTGGAGCAGCTGCCGAGAAAGAGAAGAATGCTCAGTGGGCACAGTGTAGCGGGCAAAGGTTCGGGGGAGAGACAGGGACCACAAAAATGAGAAAAGAGGAAGGACCGCAGTGAGAGAACAGGGATGAATAAAGCGAGGGACTGGGAGCCAGAAGGGCTCTGGAGGCCCAAGGGAACAGGAGGGAAGACTGACAGTAGGAGTGGGGCCTGGGAGAAGAAGGGCAGATAGGAGGACCGTCAAGGGGGCCCCCACCCCAACATCCCTAACTCACGCCTCTCTCAGATCCTCAGGCACAGCCATGGTAACCTTGAAGAAGCTGCCTTTGGTTGCCAGGGGATTGGGATTCACTGGCCGGAGCCGTTCCAGGGTCACAATCTCGTTGTAAGTGGCATCGCAGGCGGCGTATTCGATGACATAGAACTGGCAGAAAGAGAGAAGGGAAGAAACAAGTGTGGATGACCGGAGCGTCTGCCTCCCCCCTTTCATTGACTAGGACGTGTGCCTCCCATCACTCACATCTCCCTTCATCATCCGCACCCGGGCCAGCCACCAGCCACAAGGTTCCTGCTCGTTGGCTCGAGAATATACCTGAAGGTGAAAATAAAAGAGATACTGAGGACCACCCAAAAACATCAGACCAGAACAGGCATTCAGACACTTAGGAGGCACATTACATAGAAACAAAGGAAACTCAAGGAAGGAGTGGATTAAAAACCAGAGGGTGGGGGCGCCTGGGTGGCTTAGTCGTTAAGCGTCTGCCTTCGGCTCAGGTTATGATCCCAGGGTCCTGTGATCGAGCCCTACATCGGGCTCCCTGCTCTGCGGGAAGCCTGCTTCTCCCTCTCCCACTACTCCTGCTTGTGTTCCCTCTCTCACTGTGTCTGTCTGTCAAATAAATAAACAAAATCTTAAAAAACAAAAACAAAACCAGAGGGTGCTGTCCCCATAAACAGAGAGAAGGTGACTCCCCTAAAACTGGGAAGCTCCCGGGAGTTTGATCACAACAGCGACAGACAGGGAACCGGTGCATCTCTCTCTTCCACAGCCTACCAGGCTGGGCACAGTAGCTTAGCGCAGGGAGGAAGGAGACTGAACAAACCGGCGAGGAGCCTAGGGTACTAGTATCAGGGCAAGGGAGACGCAATCCTGGGCAAAGTGACATTTAGAAAGGGTGGAGCCCGTGGCCCTTACCTCCACCTCGTCCCCTTCTGTGATCTCTTTATTATAGTCAGCTGGAGGTGGTAGCCGGACATCCCCAAAAGGAATCTGCCTCTCACTCTGCCAGCTGCCAAGGGAAACAGTGACATGAAAGCTATTCGGGCTAACGTGGTTGTCCATTTCTTCAGGAAGGGGTTACTGCCTCCGCCGGGCAACTTCCACCTTCCCCGGTGATTAGAGGCTAAATCCCAGGCCCTGCTCCAGAGCAGTGTCTTCTCTCTTGCTAGAACCTAATACTAGGTCAAAAGTTCCCCACTCTCACCAAATTTCAGCCCGTTCTTCTCCTGGGATCCACCTAAGTTGACCACCCAAAGCTCTGGCTCTCCGCACCTATTACATGCCTCATAGGACTCAGCCGCCCCCTCCTCTCCACCCTCCTTGTAGGATCTAGTATGCTGGATTCTCTATTCCCAAGGTCTTACTTGTTTTCAAAGTAGATGGTAACAGAGTCTTCATGGACATCCTTCACAAAGCCCTAGAATGGATTGTAGAACAAAGTAAGAAAAAAAAAAAAGAAAAAGAAAGAAAAAAAGAAAATGACAATTTACCACCATCAAGGGAACAGAAACAGAGACCATTACCTCGAGTTTTAGACCGGGACACAAGCAATCTAAAATAGGGCCAGAAAAACCTGTGCTGGGGAAAAGACATCAACGTTGAGGTAGAGACAAAGGAAATGACATTGACATGGAAAGAGAAGTGGCAAAATCTAGAACTAAGATGAGACAAATTCAACAGAAGGGGGAAACATCACCTGCACGAGAACAGCCTGGAAACTGATGGGTCTACTAAGGCTCCCACAGGGGCCTCCCTGTCTGTCAGCCTCCCGTTATGCTGAGCAACTTGCCAGAGTTCAATTAAAATACCAACCACACTCAGCAAGGCTAAGAATATCCCATGAGACAGTGTGAGGCTGTCCTGGGACACCTAGAGGACATCAGGATCCGCCGAGAGAGAAGGGTCTAGCTCCCCAACGACAGCAAGAGGCCTGAGCAAACTTGGGCCCTTCGTGCCTGGGTCCTAGATGAATACTCAGAACACTGATGAAGTTCAAAACGATGACCACGATTTACAGAAGGAAAAATCAGGACTTCGGAGATGTGAGATTTCTTAATGCTGGACTTATGACACACTACTATGAATCTGAAAAAGACAAAAAGACCCCCAAATTGAGATGACGATGTGGGAGAGAACAGGGATGATTGAACAGCTCGTCCACTTCCTACTGTCTGTGTACTCACTGAAGAAGCCAAAGCTATGTGCTCAATCCTATGCTCCCAATTTTTCCAAATTCTCTAATTTTCACATGCTCAAAATTAGGGATTGCTAATTCTGAAAGTCCAGTTTATCGAGCTGTTCTTTTATAACTGAGCTTTTGGTTTCCTATCTAAGAAATCTTTGCCTAATCCAACACCACAAAGCTTTCTCCTATTTCTTCTACAAGTTTCATAGTTTTTATTTCACACTTAGGTCTATGATCTGCTTTAAGTTTTGTATATGGTGCAAGATATGATCAAAGCTCGTTTTTTACCCATGGATAGCCAGTTTGAACACCATTTGTTGAAAAGACTACCCTTTCTCTACTGAACTGCCTTTTCACTTTTGTCAAATTCAGGAAGTACAAATTAACGTATTACTAACAGAAAGCAGATAGGTGGTTGACAGAACTTTTGAGAGTGATGGAAATATCTTAATTGTGGTGATGGTATGACATGTATCTACAGGGATACGTAAACGGGTATCTACGTCAAAAACCTATCAAACTATACTCTGAATGCATGTACTTCATTGTTTGTATCTCAATAAAGCTGTTAACAAAAAACGAGGGGTTGGGGCACTTGGGTGGCTCCACTGGTTGAGTGTCTGACTCTTGGTTTCGGCTCAGGTCATGGTCTTGGGGTCGTGGGGAGCCGGGTGTTGGGCTCCACACTCAGCGGGGAGTCTGCAGGGAGCCTGCTTGGGATTCTCTCTCTCTGCCTTCCCCCCTCAATTAAATAAATCTTTAAAATAAAAAAAGTAGGTGTTCCAAAAGGCTAACACACAAGAACCATTCCTGAGCCCTGCAAGTAGGCACAGCAGTTGAGCGTAGGAGAGAAAACACAACAAACGCACACCTGTGTCACTCCCACCTCAACGAACTGGTCACACGTAAATTTACCATACTGCTATCTCCTCACGGTGGGAAAATCTAAACCCAAATTTTACTCTTGGTACCAGCTGGCCATCCTGCTCTTCTTTCAGAATCAGATCTTGTTCTGCCAGCTCACGACCCAGAGCTTTACTACAGCCCAAGGTGTCTGGTCCTCCTGGCGCCTGGCCTCCTCCTCCTCCTCCGTGCTTTCCTTTCCCCGGTCATTCCCCAGGTTTCCTCCACTCTTCGTTCAGATGCACCTATATGCTGCCCACTACTCTGCACTTCTGCTCCTCACTATTTGCCCCAGTCCTTCTTCCTTTTTGGGTTCTTCTCTTAGCTCCTCATTGAGCGTCCTCCTCCTGCCTTCCATAACCGTGAACATGGCATCCCTCTCCTCTTCTTTTCTCCCTTTATGAGGGTCTGTCTGGATTTCTAGAAACATTTCAACCAGCTTCTTCTGCTGACTTTATCCAATTCTTTCCCCAAAATGTCTATCTCCAAACTTGAAAAATAGTTTGAGAATTAGCTTTTCTCAAAACATCTCAGGGATGAGATAAAAGGAGTGGAGGAGTTAGAAGAGAATCACTTGTCTGCCTCCTTTGTGAAGAGATTCCCACTCCCAGGTAAACTCCTTCACAAAGGACGTGTCCGGGACTCTAATCCGATTCTCCCCCAACATGTTAGGGCTGGCCCTCAGGCAGAGGTAGCCCTACCACCCCGTTTTCTCCAGCTACCGTGATCCATCCCCAAAGCAGAAATGCAGAGCTCAGAATGGAGTTTTCCCTCACACTACTCAGTTCAACCAAACGCCACACACTCTTACACTTCTAGGGTCTTTTTCCTTCACATATTCTGCAGCACAAGCTTTCTCCTCAACTTCGTATTCCAGTCCAGTCTCTGCTCCTTAACTTCACCCACATCACCCATATTTTTCCTCCAAAGACACCAGTGGTAGAAAGTGAGCTCCTAGTTCTGCTCAGTCCATGCTCATTAAGGAGATAAGCAGGTGAGGGCAGGAGCAGGTGAGTCAATCTCTAGAAAGCCAACCAGATCCGAAGAATGACTCAATTCAGTGGCTGCGGCATATCCTGGCTTTGGCTTACAGGGCCTAGGACCAGAGAGAGGGAGAGCGGCCCAAGGTTTCTAGATACTCAGGTTCCTTAAATTAGAAGATATGGAATTAGTCCCCACCTCCGCCCTATCTTCTAATCCTGGGATCTCAAAAGAAAGGAGGGAGTTCTAGGAGAAAAGCAGGAGGGGTCTGGGTAAAAACCACAGGTCGAAGCTGAGGATGCGATATTCCTTAAGACAGGAATGGGAATGTGGATATCCGCTTAAGGTCCGGAAAGTTGGATGATCGTGCCCTGAAAGGTGAACAGATATTTCATTTGGGAGAGTACGACTTAAAGAATAAGATACATTTAGGTACCAGCAGGAAAGGAAGAGCTGGTGGGATAGCTACAGGATAACAGAGATCCCAGATCTGACATATGCAGTGCTATCGTGGAAGAAAATGAACAATAGGACCCAATTCTGAGAGAGGAGAAAGGGGCCTTCCCAAATTTATATTCTAGAAGCAATGTAAACATTCCTTGACCCACACCAAAGTTTGCTGAGTCATGAATACTAAATCAGTAGCAAGGTCAGAATGGTAAGTATCTACATGGCACTAAAAGTTGAAGAAAGATTAGTCTGAATTTAGGGATTTATTGTTGTTTTCAAATGAGCCATGAGGCAGAAAATGCTAACGTGCCCAGAACACAAAATCCACATCACCTGGCTTTTAGCTCAACTCCAAACTCTACTTTCTGAGCATCCTGTCCCTAATTCACCCAAGTCTATCACTGCCATAGCCCACAGGGGAAAAGGGAAAGATTCTGAGAGAGATTTTGTGTCGGACACGTATATGTGGAAAGGAAAACATCTCCCTTCCCATCCGTCCCACAGTTAATCTGAACTGGATACCGATCTTTCCCAGCTATGCTTAGTGCCTATGCTTCCTAGAACAAAAGCAAACATCGTATCTCAATCTCAAACTCAATTTAATAATCGCTTTTCTTGGAACCTAGAGGTGAGAGGTGGGACACACCCAGATGAAGGACAAGATACTGGGGGGAAATGAGGCCAAAGTCTTATGAAGAAGGGTATTTCAACAGAGATAACCCAAGTTTGAGGAAAAAGGATACAAGAGACAAACGTATTCTATCAGAATCAGAAAGGAATTAGAGACTTTTGCCAAAGAAAACAAATGCTACGGAGGCAGGCTAGAAGAAAAAGTCTTCTGAGTTAGAAAAGTATGCAGAAAAGATGACAGAAGAGATCAGTCGGGAGCTTCCTTCAGACTTGGAATAAGGTGGTTCCCGGAGGGCACACAAGTTTTAGGATAAAAAGCTGAAGACTTAGGTTGACAGAATAAGTTAAGATAAAGAGACAAGGGTGGCCACAGGCACTGAAGAGAAAGAAATCTCGTGAGCGAAGCAAGGCAGAAACGGACAGGCTTTTAAGGGTGGGTAAAAAAAATCACTACACTCAACTTACCAACTGGAGCCAGGGCAGAAACCTTCCACTACAAGGGCAAAGACGAGACCCTTCCCGTTACAGGACTTCACGGGAAAAGAGTTGGAGAAAGTCATTTCCAAGGGCATGAAGACGGACAGGTCTTCTACAGGAGAAAAGGCCCAAAAGAAGTGAAAGAAAGGGGGCTCTTCTCCTCCCATGGGATAAGAAGGCATCTCTGCTCTGGCTCCTCAGGGTAAAATGAAGGAAGACGGAAATCAGGAAAGTCTCTGCCACAATTCCAGGCTTGAAGTCCAAAGAGGTTCAAAAATAACAAAGAAAAATTTGACCCCAGAGGGGTCTCCCTCTGGCTTCACCCCAATGGGAAAACAGTGTCCTAGATAATGGATTCGCAAGGCGGTAGGAGAAGGAGCTCTGTGGACCCAAACCCTGGGCAAGGGAAGAGCTGAGGTAAACGAGAACCCTTCAAGACAAACCCCCTTCTTCAAAAAAAAGGCCACCAGGTTCCCAGATTGAGGGAGCTGGCCAAAAGTGTTCCAGAAGTGGAAATCCTTCACAAGATCTCATGTGATCCCCCCACTTGGAGATTAGGAACGGGAGGCTTACCAGGCTCCCGATGAAGAACCTACAGGAATGATCTAAAGACAGCTGAGGTCAAAGTGATACAAAAAGGAGCGCAGCCCGCAGAATGGTCGACCAGCTGGCCTTGGGATAAAGGGGTGGGGTGCGAGCCTAGGGGAAAGATGCCACCTTACGGCTGCGAGGCAACTTGCCTGGTTACAACCCAGAGTTGCTGAGGTCAAAGATAGCAAATGTCATAAATGGATTTTGACCGTTTCTCCTTGGCTTGGCAGCAGAAATGCAGCATGAAAGTGGGGTGAGTCTTCCAGAGGCAGAGGCCTCTCCGAGGAAGATCAAAGGATCGAATATGGGACGGCCTTCCCGAGGGGATAATAGGGAAGAATAAAGAGAATTCTCCATGTGCTTGGACCGTGGCGGGGGGGGGGATGTGATTAAGGTCTAAGGTATGTCTTCCACCGGGAAAACAAGAAAAGTCAACGAGAAGCTGGGAAAATGGGGTCTCCTCGCGGGGGGGAGGGGGGAGGCGGGCGCTGATCCGAGCACAATAATGCCCCGATGTTCGTTCTCTCCGAGACGGGGGAGGGGGCTGAGAGCAGGTGTAACCAACGGAGGCGCCGAAGGCACGAGCAAGGGGCTTCACTCGCAGAGCTGCCCCCGGGGGGACGCGGGCGGGAGCGTGGGGCTAGGGCTCGGAGGGCCAGGACTTGGCTCGAGCAGCACGGTCCCGCCCCGCTGCCCCCTCCCCGGCGGGGGGAGGGGGCCGCACGCGGGTGTCCCCGGCCGACGCACCGCCTCACCTTGTAGAAGGCCCCGTTGGAGCCGCGCACCTCGACGGGCAGTCCCGGCTCCACGTCCCCCGCGGAGGCCAGGCCGCCCATGGCGCCGCCG